CTATGATACAAACTCCAGTGCATAATTTCCAAAATAAAAAGTTTTGAAAGAAAAACCAGTTGAACCTATGGGCTGTCTTCAGTAAAAGCAGACCGAAGGAATAGAAAGTGTAGGAACTCTGGAGGAAAAACCTGTATTCAGATCTCAGTTGCCAACTGCCTAGATGTAGGACCTTAGCAGACTGCTTATCCTCCCTAAAACACAACTTCCTCATCTATGAAATGGAGCTAATTATGCCTACTCACAGGTTATTATATGTCAGGTGCCCTGCGTCTGGCTTCCCATGCCTGGTTAGTGGTATTCGGGCTGTGGGTTGTCACCAATGGTGCAAGGTGGTATTTTTATTGTTATTGCTCTTATCCTTTTTAATATCCACAAACAGAGTGGGGCATAGTTTTAAGGCCTAAAAGCCATCATAATGGCTTGGCTAGAAAAACTAGGCTTGAAACAAATTTCCTATGAGCATCTCATCCTAAGAGAAGAAATCATTCTAAGTAGAGTGCAGTATTTAGACTCAAACAGGTAAGAGTTCAAAAAATGGAAGAAATAAATATAGGGAGGCTTTAAAGCCAAAGAAAACATTTCAGTCACAAAGTGGTATTCTTGACTAGATCCCAGTACTTGAATTAAGTTCATACTGGGAATTGGGATGCATTTGGTGGCCTAGGTTTGAACTTGAAATCCCTCCTTTCCTAGATATGTGACCTTGGGAAAAGTTGCCACTGTGGCTCTTACCTTCTCCCTGTTCCAGTGCATCCTTTCCATGCCTAGTGGAACTGAATTGGCTGAATTTGACCAAATATCAGCATATCTTTTAAGAGAAACTGTACCCAACTGCAGCTCAGCTCCATGCCATGCAGAAGAACAGCAGTCATCTGCCTGAGCACGAAGACAAGCCTTGGTCTTTAGTTTTAATAACAAAAGGTCAACCTCACCACCGGATTTTAGCACCTGAATGCAAAGTCATATTCTTTGATAAACAGCATAACTACAAATCAGCATCTTAGTCAAGCTCAATGTTGAATTGCTCGATGCTCATTTCCCATAGAAAAGCCTGGTGGGAACAAATGTTACTCAAGAAGAACCACTCAGGACACACAAGTGCCTGGCTGGTCATGTGACTAGAAAGCTAAACACCTACAATCCTCACTTTAGTTACCACAGAAATACTGTCACCTAGTGACATTATGCTCCAAGCTTCTTAATCCACTTTAGAGAACAAGTTCGCCAAATCAAATACATTTTCTGCAACTTTGATTAAATTCCTTATGGCACTCACTTAGGTCCCATTTGATAAATTCTGCTGAAGTTAGTGCTAGCATAAAGTTTGTTTTTCTTGATGAATGAGTGCCATTTAATTTATTAAGCAAATGAGAACTAGGAAACTTTGTGTATTTCCTTCTTAGCCTGGGCTGTTAAGTTTAGAGTGAAGTTTACACCCCATCCCAGTAATTATCACTATTCTGGGGTTGGTTTCATTTCTGCATTTTCTTAAAACACAACATTCTTCCTATCCCTTCTTTTTGTGATTATTAGAGCTGTTATAGCCATCTTGCTCAGATGGGCAGACAGGGGCTGTCCGAAATTAGAGTTTACATGAAGGAAACCAAACTATAGAATGGAATGAGAGAAAATTGGATCATTAACATCTTTTGAGTCCCTGGATCAAGCTGTGCCTGAAGCAATAATCTGTTTTTCTCCAGCTGAGTGAGCCAATAAATTTCCTTTTGGCTTTAGCCATTTTGAATTAGATTTTCATTCACTTGGAAGATTTAACTAACAAAGAAAACAATTTTAAGATTATCTGACAAGTACTGTTATTGTAATTCATTTTCTTAAAAAGAAACTGGGTACAACTTTATGAATGAACCTAAGAAAGTGAAATTTTTAGACATCATCCTTATGTCATGTCAAATTTATAATAAAAGTAGGTTAAAACTTTCTTTCAAAGGAATTAACATTAAAAAAAAGAGGGAAAAGCTTTTTAACTACCATTTTTATTGACAGTTCTCCATAAAAGTGGAAAAGAAGAGCTTAGTAAAGGATCTTTAGACACAAAAGCAAGAAAAGGAGGAGCATTGCACCATCTACAAGAAAACTAATTTCTGTGAGAAATACACACAATGTTCTAGTGCAAACCTGGAACATACCTGCCAGAGCAAACAGGGATCAAAATTAAAACTTGGAACTTCCTGCAAGAAGATAAATCACAAATAACTTCATTCACTTTGCTTCCTTTCATTTTCATTCAGTGGACCTTAACCCTCCTGGCTCAATTGGCTGCAGTAGATGTGATGGCTGCAAGAGAATTACTCCCACTTTGATGCTGGCAGATGGCCCTCCCCAGTGCTTGCCCACAGAGACATATTTTCACAATGTATAAGCCCAGAGGTGCATGTAGAGATCTACTGAAACTACCAGACCAAGTTTCTTAAACTGCTTGAATTAGGGCAAGAATTCACAGATTTTCACAATAAACAACTTTCTCAAGTTGATACAAAGTTTATGTGCGGAGAAGATGAGGGGTCAGAAGTTCACCCTCAGTTTCCCTCAGAAGCAAGGGACTAGTAGAGGTAATTTATTAGCCCTTAATTCATGTCATATCCCTGAAACTATAGGTCAAATTTTCTCCAGAAAAGTTCCTTTCCACTTTAGATTTTGCCAAGGTACCAGATGATGCCAATGTTTACCCAAAGGTGTTTAAGTTAAAACACAAAGATGTCTTAAGTTCAACCCACCAGGTTTAAGAGTCAGTTGTATTTGAGAGTCAACCCTAAAGCTTGTAAAATATGGGTTTCTAATATTCCTTCCAAATACGCAGGAATGTAATGTATAAAATTGAAGGAGATCATAGCCTCTGTCACAAGCTACACACACAGCTGAAAAGATGACCCTCTACCATCTGCCTCCATAACTCAATTTTTACATGCTAAGTATAGATGCTAATGGGACCCAGAATTCTCCACTGACAAAACAGAAGGCAGTGGTTTGTAAATTAATACACATCCAAAAAACAACAGAAAAACTCCAGGCTCAATTCCCTGACAAGTATATCATCATTTGTCCTAAAAATATGTTCTATAAATCAACATATTGGCATCCATAAAAGAAAAACTCCAGACTCAATTTACTGATAATATACGGAAGTGAAATTTGCCCTAAAAGTCATGTTTTATGCCTTCCCATATAGATAGTCTAAATGAGTATATTTATTAATTTTTTGTTTTCTAATAAAACATATGATACTAGACACAGTCATAAGTAAACAGATTTTTTACTTCTAAAAGTCATCAAAAGCTATTAATTGTCTTTGAATAGAGACCTTTACATGAAATATGCCCACTGCTCTGGAAGAGATGTCATTCATGATTTCTCCAAAGATTCCTGGAATTTACTCTTACTCTTTTTTTTAAAAGAAAGGATAGTTTAGAAATTGATTTTATATATATCCTCTTTCCCATTAGTAACTGCCAGAGACTGGGGTGGTAGGCAGGGAGGTGGGTGGAAGAAAGACCGACTCTGCAAAAAAGTAAAACAAAATAAAATCTTTTGTCTTTTTTCTTTTCTTAAGAAAGAAAGGAAGAAAGAAAAGAAAGAAAGAACCCTAACCAAGTTTCAAGTTCGGTTCCAGTATAAAGGAAGAAATCTGTTATGAAACACTCCCCCACAAGTGTAGAATGATGTTTCTTTTCAAAACAAGTTCAAATTACATAAATTCAAAATGAATTGATGAGGCAAGATTAGCAAGGATTATTCAATCTCATCGGCGTTTGGTTCCTTTGACGATATTTTTCAAACCAATTTGCTGCAAATGCATTAAGAGTGCCTCAACTCATATAACCTCATTTGGGGGACACAGAGGTTTAAAAGCAAATGCTCTACATTATTTCCACAAAAATTCACTTGGATGAAGACACTGTCATGGACAAAAAAAAAAATCCCAAGTCAGAATTGTACATGCCAAATATTCAATGGCTGGTGTTAGTTTCTTTATCCCCAGGACTTAGGAATATTTTGGCAGACAGTTCAAAATCTTGTGCTATAAAAAAGACAGAAAATCATTATCCAATCCTATCAGCAAGCTATAGAATTCTCTTGTAGGCTAATGGTGATCAGCAAACTCTGAAGTGTTAAACTCTGGAATACCAGATTGCAAACATCATTGTTATAAATTTTTTTTTCTTCATGAAACAATTTAAATCAAGAATTATTTACTCTTAAGATAAAAACTATTTGCTTCCTTCTGGTAAACACTGAAAGTAAAAAAAACCTTCATTTACATTTCTAGATACTGACAAAGCAATTGGGTTTCATTTATATCTATTTCTTAATCATACATCATGGCTTAGCCATCATCATTTATTTCATTATTCTTTAAATGCCCTAAATCTATACAGGAGAATCTTTGGTTCTTTTAAATAACATATCTCTATGCTTTCACAGCTAACTAAGATACCTTATGAGTATTTAATAAGTTATTATTACTTCCAGACTTGGTTAGGAGAAAATACTGGAGTCCTGGGAAAGTATTATTCTTTGAAAAGTACATTTTACTGATAGCATAATTTTAATTATTTAACGACTTCATTGCATATAAGGCAACTTCTCTTTGCCAAGTCTTAGTTTTTTTAAAGTGTCTTTTCATTGTAATGTGAATGAAAAGGGGAAAAAAATTATTCTAGCTTTAGAAATTTCCTTTTAAAGCACACACAAAACCTCCCCTAGGGTTGAAAGCATTGGCCATGCTCTGGAAATGAACCCAGCTCCTTTCAGCCAAGGGATACTTGAGCCCTTTATTGTTTTGCCCAGAATAGACATCCTAATTAAAGGGCCAATAAATTAAATGTACCCAAGAAGGCAAAAAGATCCAGAAGGAAAGCACCCACCAGGGTGCCTAGAGAAAAACACAAGGTTCATTTCAAGTGTTTATGTTAGGCACCATCAAGTTCGAACAAACTCCGGAGGCACAGCTGTTTTTGACAAATGTGAACAGCTCCTACCTTCATTTCAATGACAGTCTGGAGAGCCTTCGTCTTTGCTGGCTCCGGCTGAAGTTGGCTCCTTCGGTGCAATTCCTGGGGAGGAACACGATAGAAATAAGCCTGACGGTTCATCCTTCCTTTACACCATGACCTTTACACAGGTACCACACAGCCCACTGGGTGCAGGCTCGCTGTGCACAGACATAAACAAGCCACAGGTGACTCTTCCCCCACCCTCTTTAGCATCCCTCCTGCCTGGAGCCTGCGTTCCGCTGAAAAGCTCCTGGCACATGCGCTATTTCTGAAACTACCATCAATAATTAATGTCAACTGTGACAAAGCCAGCAAGTAATCATAGTCCAAATACTGTTCAACACTGGGGCTGTTGCCCAGCCATCAAATCATAATTTACTAAATTACATTACTCTGTGCTCCCAATACAAACACAGCATGGAAACGGAGGAAAGAAAATGACTAACGTGGTTGCAAATCCACTGCATGCTTGGCATTTTGCTACTGAGGTAGGTTTGAAATGAGCAATTTAAGACCTTTTCAGTACCACTGTGTCACTTTTTGGAGTGAATTGATGTGATGAAACACTGTTAATATCTTGCTTCCTAATTTACAGTTTCGGTCCTTATTCAAAATCACATCTGTGTGTGATATGTTTATGCACTCATGATGCCAAGAAATTAAAATTGGCATTAATATCAACAGTGTTAGCAAGGAGACAAAAATGGTTAAAGCCAGATGCAGACCCAAGAACTTCTGGAATATGACAAATATAACTTTAGGTAAAACATAAACATAATTACAATTTTAAGCTGGAAGGCTCACTTTTGCCTGCCTCTTCTCCAAAGAACAGTTATGTCAAGACTTTGAAAGTTTCCTTGGCAGAAGAAGAGATAAAGATAAGATTTTTTTCATTTATGCTTTGATAGTCTTAATAATAATTAGCAACAGTTTTATGAAAGCCAATGAGAGGAGTAAACAAAAGTACTCACATATGTCCATGCTGCTGATACAAGTCACCTATGGAATAATTCTATAAGACTTATTTGCTTGCAGAAAAATCATTTAAATTCAACATGAAGTTGTTCTAGCCCTTTACACTCCATGGGTCACAAACACTGGCTCAGTCGTTAAGCGTCTGCCTTCGGCTCAGGTCATGATTCCAGGGTTCTGGGATCGAGCCCCGCATCGGGCTCCCTGCTCAGCGAGAAACCTGCTTCCGCTTCCCCTTCTCCCGCTCCCCATGCTTGTGTTCCTGCTCTCGCTACCTCTCTCCCTCTGTCAAATAAATAAATAAAATCTTAAAAAAAAAAAAAAACACCTACGGCTTTAGGGAAGAGAACCAACATGACTTCTAGCTCTTTTCAAGTAAAGGTATTAAAATTAACTCTCATTCCACCACTACCATCTACTACCATCACCATTTCATAAAGACAGAACATACTAATGCAAATATTGCCAGAAAAACAGAGTCCCACAGTAAAAGATAATTCTTCTCAGGATAATAAAACAAACAATCTTTTGCCCATATTCTATTAACATTGTTCTTATTTGCCAGCGGCCCAAAAAGACTTAGTCATGGACCACTGTCCAGGGACCAGCACTGGAGAATCAGCACTATGCCTCCAGAATATAGCATATTTTCTTCCCAAAGTCATCACTGGCACAAACCAGCAAACCTGTGCAAAACTACTTCTCAATCTCCAATTTAAGAATTTGAATTAGTGCTTCCTAATTATTCAAAGTTGTCTCACATCATTTAAAACATTTTTTTCCCTAACATATCCTTGGAAGAGATGGAGTCAAGTATTTCTGAACCCATTTTATGAACTTCTGTCCTTTTGGAGATCTTCTGTCCTTTTGGAGGTCCTGGACTAAAATAATCTGGCAACACTGGTCATTTTTAGGCTCCGTGGAAATGGCAGAGATTTTTCTGAAGGAATGACCTTAAAAGCAGTCTCCCTTTATTGAGCATCTACAATATCCCTGACACAACATGTCTCTTTCAAGCCTCAACACTACCCTGTGAAGAATCTGACCTGTGTGGTGAGTCCAGTGGGCTACTGGTAAACATTTAACAACCAGCACCCACCATGGCCAACTTCAAGCTACCTAAGTGGTATCACTGAATGCAGTTGGGAAGAAAGGTCCAATAGCACCCCATTGCATAGTATTTCTATCATATGGACAAAATAAATGTAATAACCTCAAAAACATCAATAATAGTAAAATATAACCAAAACAATTAGTAAATCATGAGTTGTAATACAATGTCTTTAATCATGAGTTTGTATATTTAATTTGTAACATTAGCTGTTAGAACAAGATTCCAATTTTTACTTTCACCGACCAGTACAATCCAGTTCCAGCACACCACCGGGTCAATCACATAAGGACTTCAACTTCCAAAGAAAGCTACTTAGCCTTCAACATACTTCCAAGATTGTTGGAGTTCACTGGACCAATAAAATTTCATAGATTAAAAAAATGGAAAGTAAGTAATTTGTCAGAGTTGCTCCACGGGAGGTGGTAGAAGAAATACATTTCACATGTCACCAATTCTGATACCACATGGCATCAAAAGCATCTTAATGAAAAAAGCTGAGAATCGAATTCATGGTAATTTCATACCATAGCCAAACCCAGTTCCAGAATAATAATTCGAGGAGAGAGGTTAAGCTTCCATAAAACAAGCAAAAATAATTAAGAAACAACTAAGTAACACAAATAGAAAATAAAAACCATAGGGTAAAGACATGCGCTATTATAATTTCTGCCAAGCACAAAAACATTTTTAAGGGCAAACATGCAATAACAAAGCTAAACTTGTAGCAATAGTTTTGCAAAAATGGAAAGAGTTTTCTTTGCTATAATTATACAAGTTCCATTACAGTATAAACCAGCTCAAAATCCAGATTGGGCCCTTAGACTCTGTGTCACTCTTTAAAAAGTAAAATAAAATAGGGGCGCCTGGGTGGCTCAGTTGGTTAAGCATCTGCCTTCAGCTCAGGTCATGATCCTGGAGTCCCGGGATCAAGCCCCAAGTTGGGCTCCCTGCTCACTGGGGAGCCTGCTTCTCCCTCTGCCTCTGCTGCTTCCCCTGTCTGTACTCTCTCTCTCTCTGTGTCAAATAAATAAAATCTTAAAAAAATAATAATAAAATAAAAATAAAAAAATAAAAAGTAAAATAAAATAAAATCTCCAATTGTCTGAAAATTGCCATTTTCCTATCTTAACTACACTATATTTCAATCAAGCCTGACTTCACAGTTACTGAGGATCACCTTAATTCCTAAGGTGTCATGTAAGCGAAGATCGTAATCCACATATGGATATCATGGACTGTCTGAAAGTTCCATCTCAGACACTTCATCCATTTCTGAGATATAGGATCCTTAAAATGCTCACTCTGATTGTGGCAGACAGGAGCAGTTGCCTGACCAAGATTTGTGCTCCTCTTCTTTAATGTAGAGTGTTGTTAGGAAGCACCACCACCACTGCCCTTGTATCAGGATGGTTGCCATGTGACTTTTATCTGGCCAGTGGGATATGGGCAGAAATGAAGAACTCAACTTCCATAAAAACTTCTTACTCTGTCCTCAATTCCCCCTTTTTTCCTGTCTGCTGGCTAAAAGTAAAGAACTCCAAGATCTAAGAAGATGGCAGAATTCCAAGATAAAAGGAGCCCAGGTTCCTGAAATGCCATATAAAAAGGCCATTGAACACCCACAGGGGATGGTGGGGTGTGTGTGAAAAAGAAACCTCTGTTAAATTCGCCTCTGCACCTTTAGACTTTCTCTGTAAAGATCCCAGTCTTCTCTGCCTTAACTACTGCAATGACTATAAGGAAAAATAACACCAAATCAGCCCTGTGTTGTTTGTAGCTTTTGAATCACAAAATTGATTTTAACGTGTGAGTGCTTGCCAAATTTCTCTAAATAGATAGTAAGATGTGTTGGTTGCTGGGTGTCCCAACTATGCCTAACTATCTGAAAGATGCACCCGTTATGCACTAATCTTAAACAACGAAAGAATTTCCCTAGAAGCATCTGGTATAGATATGAGGGAGTACAAGATTTAACTTACTCTGGTTAATTTTTAAAGAACAGTATTAAATCAAGTACAGTGGATTTATGCTTTTCTGGGTCACTGATCTCTATAAGAATTAGATAGAAAGTGTGGATTCTCTCCAGAAACGAGTACAAAAGCACACACAAACAAAATGGTGTGCACCATTTCAGCTGGTTCACAGGACCTGGTACAGCACCTGGGAGGTGCATCTTTGAACCAGACTATAGGCTAAAAAACATTTATTAAGAAGAAAGAGCATTGTATGGGGAGTCAGGAGCCCACAGTCCCAGCCTAAGACCTTGGGCACACCTATTCCCCACTCTGAGCTACAGAATGAGGAGCTTTATGAGTGGGTTTCTTTGAACATCCAGATTTTTAATAAGCAGCTGACTCTGAATTGCTGATCACTGGCTGGTATTTCTAGTTACACCAATTCTCAGTTTTTAAAAACAGGATAAAAATAAAAGAAGAAAATTGGCAGCATCAAAAACTTTAATATCTCACTGTGATACTGTCACCTGGGATATATATTTTCCTATAATTTCAAGTATAGTTTGGCCTTAGCTGGTTTTAAACTGCCAGTTCCTCCAGGTGACCAATATGGAAATATACCAAGAACCCAGAATTTTAAGCATGAAATCTCAAGTGGTTCATTGGGATGACATTTCTGGGAAGTTAATGAGTATCTAGAGTCTAGCGAATTAATGTGGATGGACACTAGCTTCTTAGATGAGCCTGGCAGAATAATGTTTGCACACACCATTTACTCTCTTCAGTAGGAAACACACACATACATACACACACACACACACACACACACACACACACACACCCGTCAAAACTTAACTTTCTATCCAAAGGTAATTCACTATTTTTATCTGACCTTTCCCCTTTCCTGTTCTGGTAATCTACTATGGAACAAACCACCCCAAATTTAGTGGTATCAGACCACCACCATTTAATTATGTTCATGAATTCTAGATCAGGAATTTATAAAGGATAGACTGGGG